CTGGCATTTCGCTGGGAATGCTCCGAAATGACAAAAACTATCGGAAGTTAGTCAAGAAACAGGCGAAGGACCTGGAAATGCTGCGCCGACGACATGAAAAGGAGGCCTCCACCATGCTTCGGGCTCACACCATCCTCACTGATAAACTGAATGCGGCGCACGCCAAGGCGTCTTCTGGGCATAGAGGCGCCCCACAGAAGTACGTGGTTCACATTTTCTGTTTTCATTTGAATTGTTTGGCCCAGTACTTGCGTTGTCCTACTACTTGAACCTCACCTAGCTCTTTTTATTTGGCTGGAGGAGGTTATTTGGTCCACACACACACGTTGATACGCATCAACACCATCCTCTCGGATTTATAGCGGGGGGGGGGAAGGGGGTCAGTCTGGGGTTGTGACCTAATCTCCTGTCTGGGAACTCTACATGAAGGGAGATCTTCCAAGCCGCTGAGCCATACGCACTCGGAGGATTCGATTTCATAGTCAGCTAATCAACGTGACGAATTGTTACTTTCTGAGGTTCATCGTCCCTCTCCTCACCGCGTTTTACCTGTCATGCTCGAGAACTGGGGAGTGAGAAGGTTTAAATTGAGGATAATGGACGTGACCCCAGTCCCCCACTCTCTCTTTCCCCCTTCAGCCATCTTTCTCTAACTCAACAGCTTCAGTTCAACCCTTGAGGAGCGATCAATCCCCTCACTTTCCCTCTCTTAAATGTTCAACTGCCCTGGCCAATTGGCTAAGCCATGACTTTTAAGCGGTTACTGTAATCCATCCCTGACCAATCCCTCCCTCCCAAGCATACCCGGGATGGTATCGGTAATCCCTGCCTGTGCCTTGGTATGGCCGCAATCATGTCTGATCCAACCCCGTATGATGTTGCGAATTGTACCTCTCCACGCGGGGGGATCTGCAACAGCGAATCTGGGAGCAAGAGATCAAGGGCCACCAGCATGTCTCGGCGGACAGCGGTAAACCAGATTTTCTTTTGATCTCAACTTCGGCGCCTCCAAGTGGATTAGCAACATAGGATTGAGACGCTAAACCCATGACTTGGCCACGAATAACGCGCCTAAACCACCTCAACCGTTTTTTGGATGACCTGAGACACTTTCGCGATACGGTTGTGGCGAGTGCGTACCGTCTTACTGGAGATGAAATAGGCTCTCAGGCAGATATGATCAATCACCTCCAATCTAACTGCATCTTCCACACCCAGATGCCCACTACACGCAAATATTTGTGGCGATTGTCATATCCCGGCGGAACCATGCGAACTCAAGCTATGATATCATCTGGATCCAGTTCCTTTTGGCAGTAACTTCGCTCGCAGTATGTGAGTTTGTCCAGTCCCTCTAACTGACGGAGGGTTTCTCCCTCTCGATCAGAGACGCACTTTGGAAAAAATGTTAGTATTTCCACTGTTAACTGATTCCACGACTTTGTCCACCCCTGACATTGCAATTTGCAGGTCATCATAGCTTAATGCTAGCAGTGCGATATGATCAGCGTAGTTAAAGTCAGTCAACTGGCATCCGAATGCAGATTTCACACGGTCGAAATCAGGAAGATGCCTTTCGCGAATATAATTAATGGCTATGGAAGATGGGTGACTTGAATTCAACCCTGTCCGAAGCCAGACCGAATGCCGAACGATTGTTACACACCAGAATGTGCGCAGGCCTTGATCGTAGCGATAATTTTTGCCAGCATACCGTCTTCCTCTTATTCACCACAGATATTTACGATGAATTGAATAGAATGCTGCAGCAAATTCAATAAGACAGACGGTCATAGGTTGCTGGTAGCCATGGAGTACTTTAGAAATGTATGCGGCTTATGTAGTTGGTCAATACACCCACACTCAACTGGGAGATAGACTGGACTGGGCCGCGTCATCGAGTCACACACCCTTTCAAATGGCCTGAAAATGACGATGGCAAAGGCCTTTGCAACACCGTCGATACACTGCAACAGTTCTTGCGGAAATTTGCCCTGTATTCCTGCTTGAAGACAGACACAAGCATTGCCTAGTCCCTGTCATCCGGATCGATCTCGCCTCCGTCCTGTTTGTTAAAGTACCTCGTGGGATTTGGACACCAGAGTACCGGCGCAGGACTTGTTGCCTTTGTTGCGGATGCCGCTCTCCGTGAGTGTCATGTGGTTGCGCAGCCTCAATAACGCATCGATGGGAAGGAGGGTCACAGGACAAAGCGTAAGTTGAAAAAGGATGGAACTCCGCACTGGGGATGATGGGTTGGCTTTTGAAGTTTAAGAGGCGTTCCAAGTGCGTACGCAAGCGTGCGACATTGTTCTCGTTGACGGCGATAAGGGCGGCATTCACAGGGTGAACATAGTCACTCAGCGCAGGAGACCGACCACAGATTTGGCGAATAGATTGGTAGGGTTTTCGAATGCCGTCGTCCCTCTAAGTCTGCTCCATGTTAGTGGCTATTCCGGCCCAGGGGTTCCTGCAGTCATCTCTAGTCGACTTTGGAGTTACTTTTCTGGCCTGATGGAGGCAATCCGCATTTGCGCGACCCTGCTGCGAAATGACAAAGTACAACGGATATTAGTTAGGAAAAAGACTAAGAACTTGGAAGCGCTGCACCGACGACATGAAAAGGAGGCCATCACCATGCTTCGGGCTCACCCCGTCCTCACCGACTCAAGTTTCAGGGTGATATCAGAGTTCTCAGGGCCTCGACTCCGATGGGTTGACCCAATTTTAGGACACGAAGGCCTCTTGTATGGGAGATTTTGCAAGCACGGAGGTGCGATGAAGTTTTATGCGTGAACAGTCAAGTAGCCGGTGCAACCCACAGACGTTGTCAGGTTCGATTCCTGTAGTCGGTCCGACTGATTGTGCAGCTGTCGCCTGTATTCCTGCTCAACAGCTGTTTGACACGATGATAGAAGCACGTATTGGCGACAACCAGCCGGTTCTGATCGACGAAGTTTAACTTTATTTCGCCATTGTTGCACTGAGAACAAAGCCCAGTGGCCAATGAGGTGAATGTTGGGGGAGTCGCCTGGACCAGCGTTACAAGTTCAGGCTTCAGCGGTAATCAGTAAATCACGCTGGTGGCGTCGTTTAGCCAATTCTTGCCGTTGCGAGTGAACAGTTTCTTCATTCCTCTGATAGGCAGTTGATGTTGGCGCGTAGACAGAAACGACGTAGTTGTTAGTAAGGTGCCCCCTAGCAGCTATCTGGTCATTGACTGGTTTCCACGCATTCACTGCATGCTTCGCTTGTTGTGGGAGGTTGGTCGCCGTACTGCGTCTACCGGAGGAGTTGCTAAGGCCGCAATAATATAAGTTGAAATGGGAGCTAACTCCCGGAATCTTGACGTTCCAAAAGGCTTAGTCAGGGAATCAGACAGGTGGCAAACATCCTGGTTTTGTCGATGGAGAATTCAGGCCGTCAGAATTCGGCCATCAGTGTCGAAGATTTTCCGCACATTACATCAACTAGCACCAAGAGTACGTTCCCAATCGGGCATCCCAGCTCGCACTCCGCTCGCGCTACTAGAGCCTGTTGGTTCCAGCCTGTTCGGGGTTGTCTCCTCTTGTGGCTTTGACTTGTGGGCTTGATCTCAGGGCAGTGATGACAAGAAAAGCTATTTGATGATGGCTCGCGGTCGCCATTTTAGAGTGCCGTCGCCGAGCTTCGCCACAGTCGCACTGCAGAGACCTCGGCCTCCCCGCGCCCTAGGAGCACATTTCAACACACATGCCCTCCCCGGCGTGTCCCAATCAAACCTACTGTATCCTGTTCATCAAGAGTGGCATTTTCAACAACAACAAAACAACAATAAAGACCAACAACAACCTTCCATTCTTTTCTGCGTTTAACACGCGTTTAGAACTAATTAAGATGCATGCCAGTCCCGCCCTCCCCTTTTCCGACGCCCACTTTCCCAGGGTTCACTAAAGCCCCCCACTCAGCACCCGATCCACAAGCCAACGACTGTTAGTTATCAATCTGGACAACATAGAAGTGGCGTTTTGTTGGCGAAAATCTGTTAATTCGGCGCTTACGTATTACTGAAATTGAGCGTCTACAAGGTTATTAAATCAGCATGCGAATAGTGTTTGTCGTTGCATACACCGTCGGTCATTGTCGCATGATAATAAACCTACAATTGTTTGCAGAGAACATGCGCTGCAATTAGATTGGAATCTGAATTTTGTGCTTCGAGGACTCTGGACTTAAGCGACTCCTGAGTTGATTCGCTCGTTCTCGTTCCAGTATAAAAGCGTTCGTTTGATGTGGTTATCTTCAGCCGGGTTTTGCGCTCTTCCCGAGGTCGAAGAAATCGAGTGCGTTGGCACAAAATCTGCCGTCGTTCGGACGGGTGTTGGTATTGGCCAAAAAAATACGGATGCCGACGATGGGCAGAGAAGACCAACTAACCACCGTAAAAATGCAATTACCGCTAGTTAATGCAATAACCTTTCATCACAGTGCTTCGCCAACACTCACGGCGGTACTAGGGGGGCATTATTACTACTAACAACAGTTTGGGTAGCAACAGGGGCTGTTGCGGCAAAGGTAAAATTGCTGATCTGAGTTACGTTTGAATTATCTGTGCATTTTATTTGCAATCAAGCCTTTTAAAATGGACAGTAAACGCCCTTGTCCGGGCATTAAAACAGTTAACAATTTTCACATCATGGATTAACACTCTTCTGTTAAGCCAAGTAAGGGGCCAGTAAGTCGTTACTATATACGTGAGCTTGTCTAGGGTTCCCCGCTGCAATTTAGATGGTGTACTTGCATGCCTACTCAGGAAAGACGCAGCGAATGGTGTGCAACGCCAATACGGCCCGAAACCTTTGTGGTCAGGTTGTGTAGCCGCAGATGTCGCCAGCACGAAACTGAATAGTGCTGCTTCACCACGAAAACTGCAAGCAGTCAAGTTATTCAACCGCAAGACCTCATAGAGCGAGTTACGTCAGCCCTCGAGAAGTGGTGAATGAACCTCGGGGTACCTTGTCGTACACACTGATGAGAGTATGTGCCACGTAAGCAGTGACCGCTAAGTTTTTAACGGAAGAAGGATTCCCAAGGTAAGAGGACAGCATTCTATTAAAGTCAGTTTGTAACCTGGCGACAGGAAATTGTGATTCGTGGATTGGATGTCGGCAATTCAGATATTTAAGATGTCTTTGAGAAACAAGCGCTTAAGCTAGGATAAGGACATTTGGTCCTGCTCTTCTCAGCAGATATTGGTAAATGCCACTTTTTGAGATTGACTTGAGTAGTTATTCGCCCGAATAGGTAGAGATTGTTTTGGTAATTGATGCACCCGATGTCCCACTTGGTCCCCCGAAGACAATCCATGCAATCCAATCCCATAGGGAGGTTTGTGGACATATAAAGGAGACCGCGGAATGACCTCCTTCCGCGGAGTTGATGACCAGGTCGTGTGTGGTACGCTCAGACGAGTCGTCATCCGCTGCCTCATATTCGGCCGTCATAACTTTTCCTGCCATTCGAATAGATCCGACCGGTTGTAGTCATAGTCAGTCGGTGTTATTTTTTCGCGCCTGAGCCCACAGTTACGGACCAAGGACACAGGGGTTATGTGAACCTTATTCTCTCATTATTGAGCAAGCGGTGCTGCCGATCAAACAGAAATTAGCCATCTCCAGGTCGGTGTTGAGTCCTGTCGGAGTAGTGGGGGGCCCATTTCAGTTTTACAGAATCATTGTGTAGCAGTAATTGCTGATGAGACACACGCCGGTTGCTGCTGAAATCATTACTTGTCCGTTGTATGTTTGGGCCCACGCCAGGGAAAACGCTTCTGACGAGCAGATTGATCATCTCGCTGTCCCCGTTCTCGTCTAACTTTTTGTTTTCTCTTTCACTTTGCAAGCAGAACATCCTTAAAAGCTGGACTGGGCCATATTGGTCTAACTACTGGAAAAAAAGGTCCTTGCTTGTTGCGTCTCCTTTACAGATCGTTGCTCTCTCTCTCTCTCTCTCGCACTAGGTCCAATGGAGTGAACTCTCCGCTGAAGGACTTACACAAGTCAGAAATGAGCGATCTTGTTCGTCAACAAACTGACCAGTGGAGCAGTCTGAAGGCCGGACAAATGAAAGAAGTCCACCAATTGGTCCTCACCTTTATGGACGCTCGAAAGGAACTCCTATTGAAGGTTTGCAACTAGCCATGTTGACTTGTTTGTCTAGTTTGTTGGCTAAAATGTTCAGCGGAAGTCTTTAAAGAGCTCCCCCTCTCCCCCCGGCAACACTATCTGGATCCACTAGTTTTCATGCTATTAATAACGATCTTTTGGCTTTTCGGGTGTAGTCACTTGACTCGACATTTATGGCTTTTAGAATCATAGACGAAGCCCGAGTTTAGCCGTACTGTTACGCGGAAACACGAACTGTCCAGCAAGACGACGGTTTCTGCTTAGACACCTGCATGTGACACGAGTTGGCGGGGGCTTCTAACTACGCCAGCCACCGCTTAACTTCATTTGTAATCGAATGTGCGTGGGCTGGCCTCTTTTAGTGTATCGCGACCACATTCGTGGCTTTAAAGGTTCTCAGCTGACGATATAACGCATTCTACTACTTAGAACTGAAAGTCAAGTTGCAATAACCTCTCTCCTTGCTGTGGACCTTTCAGTATTCACCCTCCAGTGAGCTTAAAGAAGCCGTATTGATGTGTAGCCTTTTAGATTGGCAAACTTTAGAGATCCGGGAAGATTATTTGAAGAAGAAAATAGGCTCTCCGGAACAGGTTTATTTACCTGCTGACGTTTCAAAGAGCTGGGTCGGCTCTTCATTGTCAAAGCGTAAAATGCACCTAATCGATCAGAAGTTTAATTTAAAGTGGCATCTTGTGTTGGTCGGCCTTATGCTGATCGATTTTTCTCTCCTCTCGCTGCCTCAGTCTCTCGGGAGGTGGTGGACGGGCGTTTGGCCTGTGTGCTTTGCGGGTCACCACTCCGTCGAGGGGAGCTGAGTGAATCTCTGTCGGGCGGTCAGTCTGGCGGTTCTTGTTCCTCCTCACCGAGTAGACTCGGCGTCAGGCTATCTCCGTAGGGCCTTCTTAAGTCTGGTGTGGTTGTTTGGTCCTGAGCTCTACGATTGTGATGACGTAGGACTTTGTAAGCTGCAGGAAGGTCCAGATGCTTGTTGATAGAGTGGGCATCGGAGAACCAAGCCTCGAGAGTTAGCCGTTCTGCTTTTGTGTTGCCTCGACCTAAGATGTTAGCCCTCTGGAGGTCAAAAGTATGCCCTGTTTCTCCAACGTGTGTTGCTAGTTGAGAGTTAGGGTCTAACCTCCGAGTGGCCGATTTGTGCTCTTGTAGGCGAGTTTGCAATTTCCGCCCGGTTTCGCCCACATAGTTGCAGTCGCCCTCATTGCAATTTATTTTGTAGATGACTGCTGAGGTTTCAGCGGGTGACAATGGGTCCTTCGGTTGCATCAGGCGACGTCGAATTGTTGCTTGTAGCCTTTTGTCGGCTAGAACCCAGCACGCATGTAGCACGCGTAGACGGCTTCGGCCTCACCAACCCTTACGTCTGCGTTAATTTCCAGTCGTTTCGACTCAACTTTTTCACTGGAACGTGGTGGGTGTGAGAAAAAATCGGAGTAGATACTGCTTAAGTATGCCTCATTAGAAGTGGGTTCACGCGCAGGCCAAGGATGCCCCATCCGGGATAATAGTGGTCCTCGTTTCTTGCCATGGAACCTGTACTACCACCGTCGCCCCCTCCCTCCTGTCAGTCTGACCATGAGGGGCGTCCATCGGACCAAGGCGAATCGTGCAGAGAGCAGTCAGTCTCCGAAAATGGGCTGGTTGAAACTTCAGGTCCCTCTTGGTGAACGCTGCCGCACTGTCTGCTGGGCACAGTATCTTCACGGCTCTCAATACTCGTTCTGTAAAGCAGATCCTTCATTCCTCTTCGCATTATCACTTCCCAACGTGCGAGTAGGCGAACATTTGCTGAAATCGTGTCAGGAAGCCGTCAGGGTGGATGTGTATCGTGCTGAGTAATTTGACGGCTGAGAAGTGCTCGCGAAAAGACAGAACTTGATGGCTATTTTTCGGCCTGTTTTCTTCGGGGAATCAGTGGCGCAGTGTGCGCCTATTCCATTTTGAATAAGTACCCGTTCTGTAGCGACAAACAGTGCCGGCTAACGGGACATCGATGAACCTCCTTTTGGTGAAGTACTTATGATCCGTCTGGAAGAGACCGCGCCTGTGGCCACCTGTGCCCCAGATGGCTTTTTCTGCTGGCTTTGATTTGTTCAGCCTTGCCGCCTGCCTTGTATTGCAACCGTGCTCTCGTTGCACGTACAGTTAGTGACCTAACTCATGAAATGTGTCGAAATGTAGGAATGATTGCCAATCACTCGCAAACCGACACCATTCCATGAGTCCAACGTCTATGTTAATTAAGTACAAGCTTAAAAAAATCAAAAACATAAAAGAAATAGTAAAGGCAGTGTTGCGTTGTTTAGAAATGCCGATTGCTTTAGAAAAGCGCAATATCCCGAAAACGTCAGAAATGGTCCTTATTTAGTAAACTTTGTTTTTAGATGTATAGAATGTATTCTCATACCGCAAACCTAGTAAATATGAAAGTAGAAGTAAAATAACGTCTAATAATAGTGTTTCAGTGGAGTTTACATCTGAATATCGTTTAATAATTAGTGTGCTTTAATATATGATGGTTTGTCAACTGCCTACATTCTGAGTGTGGATTCCAAAACAGTTTTCCGGGGTTCCGTGTTATCCTTGACGTTTTTGAGTTAAATGAGATGGGGTTCAACAAGAGAAACTGGATGTTGCTTGATTTCACCGATGGGGACGTCGTAGGAACAAAGTTTTCATAAGGTGACATGCCATGTGGCCGGTCGGTGCCTAATAAATTTAAATAGAACTGACAGGCGGAATCGTAAACATACCATTTTGTGTTTATAGAGAGAACTTTTCTTCCGTCAAATTAATTTACACTTTCCGTTCGTTTTGGATTACGTTGAGTTTTGGATTGGCCTCGAAATATTGCTGAATACTTCAAGATTTTCAGTGTATTCACCCGATCGTCCATAAAGACAGATTCTGAATTAGTTGTCTGTTAAGAACTTTAAACTAAGATAATTCTTGAAGGAATTAACCGAATTAGTGAGTTTTCGGGCGCTCCTTTTCCCGAAGATGGTCGTTTGAGTCACATGTGAAGGTTCATTCAAACATCAAACTTCATTTTCGAGAAAAATGGCTGTCAAAAACGAAAGTCAGCAACGAATATGCCTTCGATCAATGAAAAGACTTTCCTTAATAAGTTACCCTTTTAAGAAGTGCTTTATAACTGCACTCCGTTGACGGATCTCTGTGTACTTTGCATTTCTGCACGGTAGACCAAGTAAAAATTGGACACTTTTAGCCGTTTCTTTCACATTCCTAAACAATACTAATATTTTTCCTCCGTAAACGTAAGAACATGCCTTCCTCTACACATTGAGGCAATTTCCACTGTTTTTGCTCGCTTCTAGACTCAGTTCTTCGATTATGAATGTACGGCAGAACGCTCACATAAATACTGATATTTTGCTGAAACCATTAATGTTTTGCTCGTTCTATTTGTGAATAAGGTATTCACAGAAACTAAACTTCACGACGAGTAGTGTTTCATATGTTCGAAACTGGAAATGACCATTCGGTGGTGGTCATTTATGTGACATCAGGTAGAATTTTCCAAACGGCAAAAGAATTTCAGCCCATTTAAACGAAGGGGTCCCTATCTGCGTTATTACTGCACTTAGAGCATCAAATCGCATAGATCTGCTAATTTGACATTTAGAAATTGATAAAGCCTCTGGTTTTCTTAAAATAACCTTTGTGTTAGCAGGTTGATTACCACGGTTAAAGTCGGACATAAAATAAATTTTCAAGTCCGGTTAAATCTGTTTATTAAAACTCTCGCGGGTAAATTACTATCCTTTCGATGAAAAAGTCGCTCAGATGCGTAACCGGAGTCTATGACATGTATTAGCATAAGAAACTGCACAAATATATTCCAACGTCCATTTTCGCTAAAAACATTTACTGATATTTTGCTTGATACAATTACGTAAACACAATTTCTCCGGGTACGCATCTGGGCGAATTTTTCATTGAAGGGATAGCAATTTACCCGCGAGAGTTTTAATAAACAGATTTAGCTGAACTTGGAAATTTATTTTATGTCCGATGTTAACCGTGGTAATCAACCTGCTAACACAAAGGTTATTTTAAGAAAACCAGGAATTTTATCAATTCCTAAATGTCAAATTAGCAGATCTGTGCGATTTGGTGCTCTAAGTGCAGTAATAACGCAGATAGGGACCCCTTAAATTAAATGGGCTGAAATTCTTTTGCCGTTTGGAAAATTCTACCTGATGTCACATAAATGGACATTTCCGTAATGGACATTATAATGGACATTACGTAAACACAATTTATAATAATGGACATTACGTAAACACAATTTCTACACAAGGACATTTCCTTGAAGGATGTCGATGACCGAACAAAATGCGTAAAGTTAAAGACGTCCAGAAATTCTCGCATCAGTTTCCGTTGTCAGATTTCATGAGATAGGTCGCGTACTGTACTTTGGTTTGTCTGTTGGCTCCTGGCAGATTCCTGCCACTCCAATTTTGATCATTGGCCGACATGCGTGACTTGCCTTCCGTCGTGATTGTCACTAGGTCTACGTGCTCTCGGCTTCCCCCCTTCTTGAACGGCCATCCCGTGATTGCCTCTTCTTTCCACTTATCCCTGGGGACACGCACTTTCGCTTCTGGAGGTAGATTGAAACAGAGTTGCTTCGGGCTTGTTTGCCCTCATTCAGCCAACCATAATCCTGACCACTAGCTGGAACCGGAAGCCAAACATGCGCACCTGGTGCTGTCTTAGTCAAACTTACAGTACTGTTTCGGGCTTGTTTGCCTTCATTCAGCCAACCATAACCCTGACCACCAGCTGGGACCGGAATCACAAACATGCGCACAGACGCACCTGGCGCAGCTGGTCCACCACTGGGGTCTACCAGATGGGTCATAAGCACTTCATCGAACCGAAGTTCATCAGTGCCTCGCCACCTGCCATTCTCTGTCGCTGCAGATCGGGTATTTATTCACTCAGGAATGGGCGCACACCGATCTACTGGCTTCCCGAAGCAAACAAGCTTCGTGTGGGCAATAGGGGTCACGAGCAGGCAACCACCTACCAGGCCGAAGTCGGCCAAGCTATGATAGCAGAGCGGATACGACAGAGTCTGGGGGGTAGATTGATACAGCACTGTTTCGGGCTTGCTTGCCCTCATTCAGCCAATCATAACCCTGACCACCAGCTGGTACCGGAAACACAAACATGCGCTCAGACGCACCTGGCGCAGCTGGTCCACCACTGGGGTCTACCAGATGGGGGTCATAGGCACTTCATCAAAATGAAGTTCATCAGTGTCTCATCACCTGACATTGTCTGTCAGGTATTTATTCACTCAGGAATGGGCGCACACCGATCTTTTAGTTTCGCGAAGCAAGCAAGTCTCGTATAAATGTAGAAATCGCGAATAGGCAACCATTTACTGGACCGAAGTCGGGCAAACTAGGATAGCAGAGGAAAGACCACGCATATATAGGTAGGAAAAAAACTACCAAAAAGACGAGGGAGACGGGCATGGCCATTCCCGACGCATTAACTGTCGTAAACCGGCCATACCTGACCACGCGTTTTGCAATCCCTGGGGCTCTGACTTGCTAGCCATTGGTTAGAAGTCCAACGCTCTAAGCATTGAGCCTCGGGCTCGTCCTGTCAGTTGCGATCGATTGCATTAACAATAGCGGAAGGGCGTTCATTCATCGCGTTGCGGGGTTCACTTATCCCGTAGCATAGACAGAACAGCGTTGCCGAAAATGACAAGGGAGATTGGAACGGCCATTTCTGGCCAGTCACCAGCCAGTCATACCCATCTCCGAAGTGTGAAACACCTGCGGCTCGATCCCGCGACCTATTGATTAGAAGTCCAACGTCACTAACCTGGAGTTCCATACTTCGGAGTTGCGTATGACTGACTGACGACGACTAATAAGCCAGAAATAGCCATTCCACCCTCCCTTGTCTTTGTCGGTAATGCCATTCTACCTATATCCTGCGGCGCCGTGCGGTTGCCGGTCAGGCTCGGGAAAGAGAGCCCCAATGCATAACGGGACGAGTGAGTTCCGTAAAAACGATCCGTGAGAGCCCCTCTAACATTTGTACATTTACTCTAGTCTGACGATGACCAGGTGACCGACGTCCTACTTTTCTCTAAAAACCTACTATCTTCAAATTATATTTCTTGGGATGCCTGCCTTTTAACATATATGTATATTAGGAAGATGGAATTCTTTGGGAAACAGTAAACTTTATAGTGTAAATTTTTGAAACTGGTTCTCCAGCTCGTCTTCAGACAACGGGCGTGCAAAAACAATTAACTTCTAAACCGAGTCTGACAAAAGATTCTATGATTGGTTAAAGCCATCTTCTCGGGATTGGTTAGGCCAGTTTGAATCGGTCCTTAACGATTTTATATGTGGCATCTAGATCAATATGCCGGCTGATGCATGCCTCATCTGAGTGTACTGCCTCCAGGAATTCGCGGCCCATACTTATTGGGCAGACGCCAACAAGGCGAGTTTTCTCTCATGCAAATTTGTGCCCAGTGTCCAGTGTGTGCATAGCCACCTGGGATAGATGGTCGCGTCTCTTTACCGCGAACTGATGCTCATGTATCCGGGTTGAGACATATTTTCCAATTTGGCCACAATAGACGGCATCATAACCAATCATGGAATCCTTTGTCAGACTCGGTTTAGAAGTTAATTAGTTTTGCACGCCCGTTGTCCAGGGACGAGCTGGGGAACCAATCTCGAAAATTAACACAATAAAGTTTACCGTTTCCAAAAAAATTCCACCTTGGGTTGCCTTTTTTTTCAATTCATATATGTGTATATATGGTCAACTTATTATACCGTACTAACTGTGGGCTCTGCGAACTGGGAATTGCAGAAGGAATGAAGAAAGACATTAAAATAGTCATTTCTACTTGTTGTACAACTGACTGCGGGAGCATATCAGCAGCTTCTGGAGAGAACGGAACAGGAGTATGTATGCAGCCGGATCGAGGAAGTACATCTTCCACGTTATTGTTGATACCCTAGTTCGCACTCACTAGGATATGTGCCCAGGGCCCAATTGGTGGAGCGTTTGACACAAAATTTCTCCACCGAAGTGGCTCAACTTTAAGCCGAATGCATTCCCACCTTTTGAAAAGACCACATATAATTTGGACAACAGAGTGGCGGCAACGTACCCAGAGGGTGGAACTCCTTTTTAGGTAGGGTCCTAAAGGGTGCACTGCTAAGAAATCAGGTAGTAGAGCATGTGCCAATGCCCAACCTGGAGGACCTCGACAGGTAATGAAAGTTGAAACAAGTTCCCTATGGGTCCGTCTCGCAACTCCTCCTCCCAGTTGCCCCCTTCAATGAGAAAATACATTAACTAGCATTTCTTTTGACGGCTATTTTACGCGCTCACCCGAACTGATGCATAAACGCTCCAACTACGAGCGCAGAAACTGAGCGAATCCACAGCCATTTGTGCTAACTTGCTGCCTCGGTCGGTTATTTGTTTTAGATCCTTCGGGAGGCCCACGAGGACCAGAAACGAGAACTGAAGCAGATCCAGGAGCGCGAAAACAAGGAGATGAAAGCCCAACAAACTAAAATCTCAATCGAGTCCAATCGAACGGTCATGTGCGATCGCAAGTTAAAGAATAAGGCGGAACGAGACAGGCGGATACGCGAGCTGAACGACTACAATACGAAGCGCTTCATCGACCAGCGTAAGGCTCAGGCTCAACGAAACGAGCGGCAAATACAGGAGCTCTGCAAACGACACGAAGAGGAGGAACAGGGAGTCGTAACCGGCGTTAACAGGGTAGGCTTCTTTCATGCTCATCAGTTTCGCAGCCCTACTTGGGCGGTCGACTGAGACTTCTCTTAATTAGCATGCATTTTCCTTATCGATTTTCGATGTCCTTAAAAATTCAATTATATTTCATGGAAAACATGCATAAAAATATTCGATCTTTTACTTATTCGGTAGAAAATCACGTCTTCTTCCAATTTTATACTCGAAGGAAGAGTATAATATGGTTTTAAAAAACTTTTCTAATTCCCGAATAATTTTGAACCCGATCTGCTGTTATACTTGCATTCAGGGTTTCAAAACCACATGCCGTATATTTTCCCTGCACGGAAAACCACACTTTTCTCTACGGTATTAAGAGGAGACCATATAGGTTTCATAAAATTAAGCAGCGGATTTGAGCAATATTGCTAACTTTACAAGCCACATTCGTAAATGCAGATGCATGACGTTTTATGAACGGTCATTTCACGGTATTAAAAAATCTTACAATTAGAAACTTTTTGGAACCGAATTATACCCTTCTTTCGAGAATAAAATCGGAAGACGTAATTTTCTACCGAATAAACGAATGAATATTTTATGTATTTTTTTCATAAAATATAATTGAACTTTTAAGGGCATCGAACATTAATGAGAAAGTTGCACGCTACTTAAGTAGTCATTTTTGCAGAGTATAGTACTTGTATGCAGTCGGAAATAAGTTCATTCGAAAGCTGGCACCCTGTGGTAACTGGATCATCATCGAATTATGCTGGACAGTGATTAATTTTACAACCGTAATACATCTTTTCGAAACGAGAGCGCATTTCGAAATTTCGGCCGACATTTCATGAGTTTGCCCATCTACTGTAAATTCCTATGCTCATCAGTCTCGCAGCCCTACTTAGGCGGTTGCTCAGGGATGTCGACTGAGACTTCTCAAGTTTCAGCGCTTCGTATATTTACGACTTCTTCCTATACGGTGACAGTAGGCAATAGACTTGAATTGCACGGGTAGTCTTCTGCTTAGTCGGAGGTCGCCGGACGTCATAGGACCGGGAGACTTGCAGGTTCTGCTTGCTGCTAAGAGGATTTTATTCCATTTGATGACACTTTAGCGCATCGTGTCTGACAGAATGAAGGCCTCAGTGACGCAGTGCAGTACATGTGCTAACTCATGAAATGTCAACCAAAATTCCGAAGTGCATTCTCGTTTCGAAAAGATAAATTAAGTAGTGTTGTAAAACTAATCATGATGCAGGATAAATCTATAATGATCCAGTTACCTTAGGGTGTCTGCTTTCGAAAGAACTTATTTTCGGCTGCATGCAAGATCTATGCTCTGCAAAAAATGACTACTTATGTAGTATGCAATTTTCTCATTGATTTTCGATGCCCTTGAAAATTCAATTATATTTCATGGAAAACATGCATAAAATATTCATTCTTTTACTTATTCGTTAGAAAATCACGTCTTCTTCCAATTTCATACTCAAAAGAAGAGTATAATTCGGTTTTAAAGAAGTTTCTAATTGTGAGATTTTTTAATACCGTTAAATGGCCGTTCATAAAACGTCATGTATCTGCATTTACGACTGTGGCTTGTAAAGTTAACAATATTGCTCAAATCCACTGCTTAATTTTATGAACCTCATATTGTCTCCTCTTAACACCGTAGAGAAATGCATGGTTTTCCGTATACGAAAAATATACAGCCTGTACTTTTGAAACCCTGAATGCAAGTGTAACAGCAGGTCGGGTTCAAAATTATTCGGAAATCAGAAAAGTTTTTTAAAACCGAATTATACTCTTCTTTTGAGTATGAAGTTGGAAGAAGACGTGATTTTCTACCGAATAAGTAAAACAATGAATATTTTTATGCATGTTTTCCATGAAATATAATTGAAAATCAATGAGAAAATTGCATGCTACTTAAGTACTCATTTTTGCAGAGTGTAGATCCTGCATGCAGCCGAAAATAAGTTCTTTCGAAAGCTGACACCCTGAGGTAACTGGGTAATTATAGATTTATGCTGCATCGTGATTAGTTTTACAACACTACTTAATTTATCTTTTCGAAACGAGAACGCATTTCGAAATTTTGGTTGACATTTCATGAGTTAGCACATCTACTGTATCTTCTAACTCCGAGTGTCGTCATTTTGCGAATCCTGATACAGTTTCGCGTGCATGCTTGCAGGAAACTTGACCGGCTGTATGGACAACTCACACCAAAAGTTGTTGTCGCCGTTACGTTGGCGGTGCTGCAGATGTGCTGATCCACAAAAAGGGTCAGACTGGCTCACAACACGCAGTTGTCAGGCTGTTCTGAACTTGCACGTGCTCACTAATTAACCGCCGTACATGCGTGTGGTGGCGCGCCTTGCCCCTGGACCTTCACGTCGCGTCAGCCGTTGCGCCGATCCCATAACCAGCTGACTGACAGACCCCGACAGTCGACTGATGCATGCAACAGGGTGAGGCCGACGCTGGAGATTGCATCCTCACTGAAATAAATCTGACGCGCTTGAATCTGTCACGACGCGCTACCAGTCCTGACTTATGCGACTGCCGACCGACGAGATAACACAGTCTCCTCATGGTGAACATAGTGAAGTGACTGGTGGACTGAGTCAAGTTGTAATGGCCCTTGTCAATGCGGCGCTTGTGTGTCACTCTCACCTATGCGAGATCTGGGCTGGCCTTACAAGAACTTGGTGCACGAAACGGGGAGTGGGCCGTGCATGACACGCGTAGAGGGGATGTTCAGGCAGGTCAGCCCTTAAGTAATTTGTCGTTGATCTAAAAGCGACCTCAACTACGCAGTTCTTTCTGACTACAAAAGTCCTCGTTTTGTGCGCCACCCGCCCCCTCATAACTCCGGTAGTCATGACATTGTCGTGCCGTCGGAAGAAAGTGAATGAGTGCGGCAGATGCAGCGCACGTCGGCCTCACCATTAACTAATTCAGAGACATATCACCGATGCTACCCCCACACTCCGTTGGACGTCGTTGCTTGCGGCGGTCGAACAATCGCATACTTGGACAGGTGTCAGAGTGTAATGTTTTGCAGTGGCATACAGTTTGACACGAGAATAAGGGAGTCCCTGTACTACAGATGGTCTTACAGTAGATGGGCTAACTCATGAAATGTCAACCGAAATTCCGAAATGCGTCTTCGTTTTGAAAAGATTAATTAAGTAGGGTTGTAAAACTAATCATGATGCAGGATAAGTTTATAATGGTTCAGTTACCTCAGGATGCCGGCTTTCGAATAAATTTCCTTCCGGCTGCATACACAAACTACACTCTGGTAAAGAAGGACTACTTGAGTAGCCTGAATTTTTCACATTGATTTTCGATGCCCTTAAGGGTTTAATTATATTTCATGAAAAGAATGCATGATAATATTTATTCTTTTGTTTATTCGGTAGAAAATAACGTCTTCTTTCAATTTTATTCTCAAAGGAGGAGTATAATTCGGTTTCAAGAAAGTTTCTAATTGTGAGATTTTTATAAGACTGAAATGGCCGTTCATAAAACGTCATGTATCTGCATTTACCAATGTGGCTTGTAAATTTAACAGTATTGTCCAAATCCACTGCTTACTTTTATGCACTCCGTATGGTCTCCTCTTTGTGCCGTAGAGAAATGCATGGTTTTCCGTACGCGGAAAATATACGGCTTGTAGTTTTGAAACCCCGAATGCAAGTATAGCAGCAGCTCGGGTTCAAAATTATTCGGGAATTAGGAAAGTTTTTTAAAACCGAATTATACTCTTATTTTGAGTATGAAGTTGGAAGAAGACGTGATTTTCTACCGAATAAGTAAAAGAATGAATATTTTTATGCATGTTTTCCATGAAATATAATTGAATTTTCAAGGGCATCGAAAATCAATGAGAAAATTGCATGCCACTTGAGTGGTCATGTTTTGCAGAGTATAGTTTTTGCATGCTGTCGAAAATAAGTTCATTCAAGAGCCGGCACCCTGCGGTAACTGGATTATTATATACTTATGCTGTATGATGATTACTTTTACAGCCCTACTTAATTTATCTTTTCGAAATGAGAACGCATTTCGAAATTTTGGTTGAAATTTCACGAGTTAGCCCACCTACTGGCATGCATAAGGGGATCAGACTGCCTGACCAGCCGTTGCGCCCAAGCTTGTCTTCAGTTATATCGCCACAGTGCTGCCACTGGAACATGGCGTGGGTGAGTGAATTTGATGCTTCGCAAGTCCGCTTCACCCATAGGCTCTCTTGCCCTCTTGAAGGTGGTTATGGTCGTGGTCGAGTATGCGGGCGACCAGGGAATGCAACGATTTTTGTTCCACTGCATTAGCAGCCTCATCGTCTTCCATTTGATAATAACTACCCGAATAACAGAGGAGGCGGGGAAATCGTTGCAAGTCAAGTTGGTTTGCCTTTCCCCTTGCTGGAGACACTGTGCGAAGATGTGCTCTTAGAGTTACTTTGCAAGAAACGGACGGTTTTTGGTGGATTGTGGCTGACATGTTGTCGTCCTTTGCCTACTGACATCCGACATAGTCACCTGGGGAAGGCATCCATCGGTCTGTCAGGATGCCAGATCAGAATAGGCGGTTTTCCCCGTCTTGCTTTGAGCTCAAAATTCGAAGTTTTAGCGAGACCGTTGGATTTCAAACCAGCTTCACCCCGGTTCAGACTTCCGTTCTTCCCTGACACCACTGGAGTATGGCCGATCGACGACTGTATGTACGCAAGGGGCAGTCGCTATGCTGCCATAAGGGGTTCTAACGACGAGTTCGAAGATCTGTGTTCGAACGCCCCTATTGGGCCGGACACAGATGTTGACCCTCCGGATCTATTGCGCAAGGCCACAGGCGATACAGGAATCATGGTAAAAGGGGCCGCTTAGGAGACAAAACATGGTATTTCTAGGTATAAATGAAAGGGGAGACCGTTTTTGCGCTGCATTCTTGTCTCAATGCATAAAATGCACTTTATGGGGAGATAGTTCGAGGGGGGGGGGTACACATATCCGTACTCTACCCCAGCCAGTTCAGAAGACGTTCATTCACTGAGTATCTAGCGGGCCCCGCTTTGAAGTATGTCCTCGGGGTATGAGTTGACGATAGACTTGGGGCCACGCGTCGATCTTCCTTTACGGCCTAGGTACCTTGTTAATATCTGTAGTTCCGCACAGTGTTTGCCCTTCCCCTTTTTCACTAACCTTTCATTTTGCCTTTTTCTTCAGGAAAGAGACGAACTGATACACAGTTATCAGGAGGAGCTTCTGGCCAGCAAGCGGACAACTGTAATATGATCACGGCGCTGCCGTAGCCGTCCCACACCGTTCGCTCGACGGCCACGTCATTCTCCCCTCCGATTGGCTTTGTCCACCTCCCTCGCGTGCGGCCTCGAACCTCGGGGCTACTGGTGCGTCCTCTGGACGTAGCGTCCCTCTCTGCCGGCGTGCGGTGCTACCCCAGTGTGCCAAGTCGTTCACTATTCCCCCCCTAGTCCCCAATCTGCCCTATCCCGATGTGGCGAGAATATCCCAGCATTTGTGCACTCTTTTCTACTCACAGGCCCTATTCTTTTCCCTCCTCCGCTTATTTGTTCGCTTGCTCGCTCGCTCACTCACTCGGGTTTGGGCGAAATTCGGGTGCCGCTGTGCGTCCTCCACGTTCGTGCTATTTGTGAGCCAGGAGCCACTGAGATTGTGATTATGATTATTATTTTATAATTTCTTGCACAGAAGATACACCTTGAATAGTCGCAGTCCTGATCTCTCGCGCGCTATCTCTCCCTTTTTCTGTGGACTAGCTTGACGTCGCTCTCTTCCAAGCGCACTCGACACAGAAGCACAACCACGCAGATGCAGTTTACTTCGTTAATAGGTGAACAAAGGGGTCCCTTTTTTCACCCCTTCGCCCCACACGCACACGCCGCACGTACCCAACACATCTGATCTCTTTGTACTCAGGATTTTGACCTTTTTTCTCATTTTGCCCAAAGCGAACTCTCATAGCCCTCCTCTGGTATTTTAACGCGTCCGTCTCCTGTCTCATCTTACG